GAGATTATTTTTTTCTCATAGCTTGTTTGCTTAAGTTTGGTGATAACAAATCATATATGTTTTAATGAAATAAATTATATGTGTTAACAATTAACACAATAGGTTTAAATATTCAAATAACAAAAGACTGTTTCAAAAAACGTAATAATATTTCAAACAATTATATAAATAATTAATATATTGAACAACTTAAGGATTACAATTACAGCATACTCTTAACATGTACCTGAATTTCAATGATATCACAAAAGCAGTATTAAATTCAAGAAATCATATTTCCGCAAATATTTCCACACGCAAAAGGTCCACTTTTCGACATTCGCAAAATGATTGTGATACATAAATATCCACTTAAACAGTACATGTAATTTTAGTCCGTCTCCTCATTTGGAGTTCTCAATTTACACTTTGAACAGTTAAATTGATGACATTGAATGTGACCCAATGTTGTAAGGCTGCATTAATGGAGAAACAATTATCCTCTTTAGCAGACTAATTAAGACCATTTTGAACTTTTTGTCCCCGGCCTTTTCGAAGAAAAAAGGGGAATAAAGAAATAGGCTCCGCCCATCCGTCTGTCCGTGCGGGCGAACATCCAATGGTCTATGAGCTTCATTCCGTCCATAATTTTAGTTAAAAAAAGAAGGAAATCCCATAAACCGACTGGTTTATGTGGTAATTTTACTGGTTTATGGGGAAAAATGCCACATAAAGGTCAAAGAAAAAGCACATAAAACCCCAATTTGTGGCACATCCGTCTGTACGTCGGTCACACTTTCGTGTCTGGTCCATAACTTTGTCATTTATGAAAGGAATTTATGTGTCATATTCAACAATCAGACCCCTACCTCCAGGGTCAAGGTAGCACTTGCTCATTCAAGGTCAACATTGTCTATTTGAGGGTATATGTGGTGTCCGGTCCATAACTTTTTTTAGCTCACCTGTCACAAAGTGACAGTGTGAGCTTTTGTGATCGCTTTTCGTCCAGCTTCCGTCGTCCGTCTATCGTCCGTAAACTTTTACTTTAAATGACATCTCCTCATAAACCACAAAGCCAATTTCATCCAAACTTCACAGGAATGTTCCTTTGTTGGTCACCTTTGAAAATTGTTCAAAGGATTTAATTCCATGCAGAACTCTGGTTGCCATGGCAACCAAAAGAAAAAACTTAAAATATATTCTTCTAAAAAAACCAAAGAGCTAGAGCTTAGATTTTTGGCATGAAACATCTTCTGGTGAGTGTCTACCAAGTTTGTTCAAATAAAAGCCTTGGGTCAAAATTGGCCCCGCCCAAGGGGGTCATTGATTTTCCCTATATGCATATAGTAAAAACTTAAAAAATCTTCTTTTAAAGAACCCAAAGAGCTAGAGCTTAGATATTTAGCATGAAACATCTTCCAATGGGTGTCTACCAAGTTTGTACCAATAAAAGCCCTAGGGTCAAAATTGGCTCGCCCCAGGGGGTCATTGATTTTCCCTATATGCATATAGTAAAAACTTAAAATATCCTCTTTTCAAGAACCAAAAGAGCAAGAGCTAAGATATTTAGCATGAAAAATCTTCTTATGGATGTCTACCAAGTTTGTTCAATTAAAAGCCCTGGGGTCAAAATTGGCCCTGCCCCAGGGGGTCATTGATTTTCCCAATATACATATAGTAAAACTTAAAAAATCTTCTTTTAAAGAACCAAAAGAGCTAGAGCTAAGATATTTAGCATGAAACATCTTCTAATGGATGTCTACCAAGATTGTCCAAATAAAAGCCCTGGGGTCAAAATTGGCCCCGCCCCAGGGGGTCATTCATTTTCCATTTATACATATAGAAAATACTTAAAAAAATCTTCTTTTAAAGAACCCAAAGAGCTAGAGCTAAGATATTTAGCATGAAATATCTTCTTATTGGTGTCATCCAAGTTTGTTCAAATAAAAGCCCTGGGGTCAAAATTGGCCGTGCCCCAGGGGGTCATTGATTTTCCCTATATGCATATAGTAAAAACTTAAAAAATCCTCTTTTAAAGAACCAAAGGAGCTAGAGCTAAGATATTTAGCATGAAACATCTTGTAATGGATGTCTACCAAGTTTGTTCAAATAAAAGCCCTGGGGTCAAAATTGGCCCCGTCCCGGAGGTCATTCATTTTCCCTATATGTGTAAAACTGTAGCAAAAATTGAAAAATCTTCTTTGAAAAAACTCAAATAGCAAGAGTTTAGATATTACATGTATTAAGCATGAAGCATCTTCTAGTGAGTGTCTTCAAATTTGTTCAAATAGAAGCCCTGGAGTCAAAATTGGCCCCGCCCCGGGGGACATTGATTTTCCTTATACAAGTATAGCAAAAACTTAAAAATCTTCTTTTAAAAAACCCAAATAGCTAGAGTTAAGATATTAAGCATGAAACATTTTCTAGTAAGTGTCTACAAAGATTGTTCAAATAAAAGCCCTGGGGTCAAAACTGGCCCTGCCACAGGTGTATCATTGTTTTTAACTATATGTGTAAAGAAAAAACTTAAAAAAATCTTCTTTTAAAAATCCCAACGAGCTAGACCTTAGATGTTTAGCAAGAAACATCTTCTAATGGTTGTCTACAAAGTTTGTTCAAATAAAAGCCCTGGGCTTTAAACTGGCCTTGCTCCGGGGGCCTATGTACAGGTGAGCGACTTCAGGGCCATCATGGCCCTCTTGTTTTATTTGAAGGGATTTTGTAAATACTTGCAACAAATGCTCACAATAATGAGACGATGTGTCATGCGCAACAATCGGTCAACTACCTCCAAGGTCAAGGTCACACTTGGAGGTCAACGATTAACATAATCTGTTACAGGGTATATTTCGTGTTCGGTCCGTAACTTTGTCATTTGTCAAAGGAATTTGAAATAACTTGGCACAAATGTTTGTTATAATTAGACAATGTGTCATGCACAGCAACCAGACCCCTACCTCCAGGGTCAAGGTCGCACTTGCTCATTCAAGGTCAAAATTGTCTATTTGAGGGTATATGTCGTGTCCGGTCTATAACTTTCTTATCTTTGAAGGGATTTTGTAAATACTTGCCACAATTGTTCATAATAATGGGACAATGTGTCATGCACAACAATCAGTCACCTACTTCCAAGGTCAAGGTCACACTTGGAGGACAAAGATTAACATAGTCTGTTATAGGGTATATTTTGTGTCTGGTCCATAACTTTTTCATATATCAAAGGATTTTGAAAATACTTCGCACAAATAGTCACTATAATAAGTCAATGTGTCATGAGCAACACCTGCATCCCTACATACCCTAGATCAAGGTCACATTTTGAGGTCAAAAATTAACATAGTCTGTTAAAGGGTATATATTGTGTCCGATCTAGAACTTCTTCATAGCTCAAGGTATTTTGAAATAACTTGGCACAAATAGTAACAATAATAAGACAATATGTCAAGTACAACACCTGGACCCCTACCTCCAGGGTCAAGGCCACACTTAGAGGTCAAACGTTAACAGAGTCTGTTATATGGTATTTTTTGTGTCCAGTCCATAACTTCTTCATAGATCAAGGGATTTTGAAAATACTTGGCACAAATAGTCACAATGATAAGATGATGTGTCATGCGTAACACCAGTGTCCCTACCTCCAAGGTCAAGGTCACATGTAGAGGTCAAAGATTTACATAGTCTGTTATAGGGTATATTTTGTGTCCAGTCCATGACTTTTTCATTGATCAAGGGATTTTAAAAATACTTTGCACAAATAATCAGAATAATAAGACGATATGTCAGGCCATAAACATGGGTCCCTACCTCCAAGGTCACACTAAGAGGTCAAAAATTAACATAGTCTGTTAGAGAGGGTATATTTTGTGTCCCATCTATAACTTCTTCATAGTTCAAGAAATTTTGAAAATACTTGGTACAAATAGTTACAATAATAAGACAATATGTCATGCACAACACCTGCACCCCTACCTCCAAGGTCAAGGTCACACTTAGAGGTCAAAGATTAACATGATAAATTTTTTAATTCAGTGTTTCATTTTATTTCTTTGATAAATTTATTGTTGCATTTGCAGATCTAGCATTGATCATAATTTTGGACTGAAAGTTCTTAGATCCATATCTCAATTGGGAAAAAAAAGCACAATTTTATGCTTCATATAAAACTTCCCCGAGGCGGGGGACTTTTGTAACTCTGTTACAAATTCTTGTTTAATTAAATTCTACACTGTCAAGCTCTTGTACTAGAAAGAATATGTAGGAATGAAGTGATGTATCACTAGTGTAGTTTGAAACTATCAATATGAACTTAGCAGTTAAGATGTAAGATTGGAAACTTAAAAAAACAATGTTATACAAATAAGCAGTAATTCTTAGATCATCTGTTTAAAAGAAACAGTGGAGCTATTATGATCACTGTGCTGGCCCTATTATTGTGCTGTGCAAAACTTTATTGTAGCCCTCAATAATTCAAACATTTTAAAAAGGTATAGATATGAAACTTTGACTTCTAGTGTATCATGAAAAGATAATTCTGAAAGCTATAATTTTAGAATTACGCCCTGTTTTATACATGCCCGAAAAAATTCTTCATGATTTTATAATGTTATGCAGCTGTTTGTCTATCCGTCTGTCAGCAGTTTTCGTGTCCAATCTGTATGTTTTCACTTGATGGAAATTGAAACTACTTGGCAGAAATGTTAACCATAATGAGATAATATATGCTCCTTTTAAACTTGAAATTTTTGTCAAAATTGTTACTAGTTATGTAGAATGATTTCTATGAATGAAAATTTGAATACATTTGTACCATGACAATGCACAGTTGTATTTAAATAAAGGGTGTTGTCCTGAAAAAATGAGATATGTTCCTTCTAATATTGATAAAAGTTGGATATTGATAGTCTAGCCCTTTACAAACAAGCATTAAGTCCATGTGCATAAATTTAGAAGGTTTATGCATATTTTCTTTTCTTTTTTCATCAGCTCTAATTTGCTGGAAGCTTTCTTTCAAAAATTCAAAAATGAACCCACAAGGTCAGAGAAATGTTCCTGAAAACGAAGCTAGGGATTCCAATCCTGCAATGCAAATAAGGGAAATGAGCCAGGGTGCTGATGGAAGCTATGAAGATATAGATGAAGGTATTACTAACAACGAGGTTCTGAGGTATAATGGAGGTTTTGATGAGGACAACAAGGTTCTGAGGGACAATGTTGGTTTTGATGAGGACAACGAGGTTCTGAGGGACAATGTTGGTTTTGATGAGGACAACAAGGTTCTGAGGGACAATGTTGGTTTTGATGAGGACAACGAGGTTCTGAGGGACAATGTTGGTTTTGATGAGGACAACAAAGGTTCTGAGGGACAATGTTGGTTTTGATGAGGACAACGAGTTTCTGAGGGACAATGTTGGTTTTGATGAGGACAACGAGGTTCTGAGGGACAATGTTGGTTTTGATGAGGACAACGAGGTTCTGAGGGACAATGTTGGTTTTGATGAGGACAACGAGGTTCTGAGGGACAATGTTGGTTTTGATGAGGACAACGAGGTTCTGAGGGACAATGTTGGTTTTGATGAGGACAACGAGGTTCTGAGGGACAATGTTGGTTTTGATGAGGACAACGAGGTTCTGAGGGACAATGTTGGTTTTGATGAGGACAACGAGGTTCTGAGGGACAATGTTGGTTTTGATGAGGACAACGAGGTTCTGAGGGACAATGTTGGTTTTGATGAGGACAACAAGGTTCTGAGGGACAATGTTGGTTTTGATGAGGACAACGAGGTTCTGAGGGACAATGTTGGTTTTGATGAGGACAACGAGGTTCTGAGGGACAATGAAGGTTTTGGGGACACTGGAGATTTTAGACAGCACATTGAAGATGATGATGCTATAAGGAATGATGGTGTATCTTATAGTTCAATGATGGAAGGGAATGAAAACGTAACTGATCAAGAGGAGATAGAGCAACCTGAAGTAGATGCAACTGTTAGTCCTGAAAATAAATCAATTCCTTTAGCTGAAGGCTTGTCTCAAAATGAAATCCAGAATGATCATGAGACAGATCCAGAACCTGAAAATACTACCCAGAGGTCTGATAGCTCTGGAATTAGAAAAAGAAGGCACATGGCCTTAGAAGGTTGTAATGCTGCTTCTACCACTGCTGCTGGTGTTGGACCTGCTGAAGACGGAGATAATGGCATTAGAGCTAAAAAAATTGAATCTGACACAACAATGAAAAAGCTGATGGGAGGCACTCTTGAAAGGACAGAGGAAGTAGTACTTGCTGTGAGCTGCAGAGAAACAGACAGTAGACAAGGTGGTGGGGATGAATCCAATTGTATGGAAGCAGACTACAGTCCCCTAAGAGAAGTGACAAATGAGGAAGATCAAAAAGCTAAGGTTAGTTTTTTACACATTTCTTACATTCACCATGATTCTTATGACTATAATGAAGTAACATTATAACCTTGTATAAATAGTTCAATTGACTATAATTTCAAATATATATCTTTTAATTGTAGTTTCTTTTTAGTCCTTCGTTCAATCATGTGATAATTAGTTGGTGAAGTGAAATTTATGAGTTTGGATGAGTTATTGAAATTTTCGCATGAACAGATATTTTATTTTACTAACAATGTAACAGTCATACATTTTGGAACATTTTCATTCATGATACACTTTTCATTTTACTGCAGTTCATATTTATGTTAAATGTCATATAGAATTGTCAAGAAATGTTTCATTGCCAGATTGATTTAGAGAGGCCAGATTGATTTAGAGAGAAAGATTGTTTGTCAATGACTTTGTCATTTATTTAATATGCTTTAATTTATGAGGGTCATTTTTAGCTGCACTTTTCACTGAAAAATGTAGCTACAATTGATTTGTCATGACTCACCTGGGGGGGCTGCTGTGTCAACATTGGTTTACCCTTTTAGGTAATATGTTTTCATGTCTGGTCATTAACTTGAATACTAAAAACAATATTATGTGGATATACCTTGATGAGCTTTGCCCATTTTCAGAAGTCATTGGCCATGGTTAATTTTACTTGTAATAAGTTAAGGTCATATCTATTTAGCTAGTTACATTATTTTGTCATATCAGTTTATCAAATTATGTTACATTGTCTTATCATCTTTATTGTGTAATTTATCATTGTCATCAATTTATCAAGTTATGTTATATTATCAAATAGATCAATCATGAAGAAAATAAAAAAGGAAGAAAATAAGACTGTAAGCACCAATGCGTCAGTAAATATTCAAATGGTTTGGTTTTGCAATGAAAAGTTTCAAAACAATCTTGTTTGTTACATTTACCATCAACTGACAGGATTCTGTTGTTGATATCAATGATCAAACCCTTATGAACCAAGGTAATTTTTGTGTTTCCAAAAAAATTTACTTAGAAATTACATGTTGTATTGTGAAAACTATGTACAAATGAAAATAAGCATAAGTAAAAAAAAAATTTTAAACTTATAAATCAAAAATAGTATTTGAAACCACAGCAGTATTTCTACAGATAAGATTTTGAGGTTGAAACTTTATCATTAATTGATTAGAAAGTTCAGGATAATTCTGTTATGTTATAACAGTTGGTATTTCTATTTCATTCTGGACCATTTATATAATAGGCTTTTTTGTCATTCCTCTATACAAGTTATCTGTAGTTATGAGCTGACATGATTAAAGGGACTCCACTGAGGTGCAAAGATCTAAAACGAAAAAATTAAAGTATTTACATGATCAGCTGGGGCACGCAAAACAGAAAGATGGGCAAAATATATTCTGTAATAAAAAATATACCCAGAAATAAATTGAAAACAACTTTGTGCTATTCTAGCTTGATTTGAGTGAAAAGCTTTGCAATGCTTTTTAATTTTCTTCAAATAGAAGAGCTAAATATGGCGGCATAGCCGAGTGGTTAACTCTTCGGACTAGTAATCTAAATACTGCTGACTGCGTAGGTTCAAACCCTGTCAGGGGCAAGCGGTTGTTTCCTTGAGCAAGAAACTTCACATTCATTGCTTAGTACTACGTTTGTTCCAGGAACAGATCCGAGAGTGTTTCATTAAGCTAAGATATAGCTTCCAACACAATCCAACTAAAATCAATTTGTATAAACTAAATTAGCTAGACATTTAGCTATTCTTTTTGAAGAATTATAGGGAGCGCTGTTGTGGTCACCATCAGGTGTCAGCTTCCTCCTCAAATTATTGCGTGCAAGTTTCTATCTCCAAATGGGATGAAACTTCACAGGAGATCATTTATTCTAAGGCAATTTAAATCTAACATGACTTTTGACAGAGTTATGGCCCTTTCTTAACTTGTTTTACTCTCAAGCACTGAGAATAGTTGAGCACTCTTGTCCACAAATAGAATTATTATTCTGGAAAATGGAAAAAGGGAGCAAATGATCTGAAATTTTGCACACAAGTTATCGGTGTATTATGACATACATCAAATTGAAATTAATCTTGAAAACTTATTGTCCAGTCCTGCCATGTCAAATAATCCAGTAGAGTCCCTAAATAGGTAGGAAGTGATTATAGAAAATTATCAAAATTTTCACAAATTCCCAAGATTAACTTAAATATGGTTGAGATCTATTATAGGTAAGGTCACCTAATATAATTTATCACATACCAGTGCCGATTTTGCCACTCTGTAAAAACGGTATTGCATGGCTGAGCATATATTTTGATGTGACGTCATTTGCGTTATACAAACATAGTGTAAAAACTCACTAAAGCTACAGTCTCACTGACATCCCGGTAGATGTCCGGGTTGATCCCGAAACATTGGGCATTTGACCCCGGATTGAATAAAATATTTAATATCACCGGGGTGGTCCGGGATGATCCGTGAAGTATAGCTTTGCCGGCTTCATCCTTAACTCTGCCGGGAACGACAGGGGTAGCACCGTAGCTCTGCTGGCACAAACTGGGGATGATCCGGGGTATGATATAGCCGGCAGAACCCCGGTGAGTGCATTTCAAAAGAATCACGACAATTTGCGATGATTGCACTTCTATTCAGTCTTGCAGTAAATCATTATGAATTACTATTCTTGAACAAAAGATATTATATTAAATAAGAATTATGTATCAATGTAATCATTTTTGCACGTTTTCAACATCGGGACCGGAGTCTGCCTGGATCATAAATGGGCTCGAGGGGTCTGGGGATCGACGGGGGGTCTGCCTGGCACCGGGCTTTTTCGGTGTCATGGGAACGCCCGGGGGAAGCACCTGCATAATGTAGCTTCCCCTTTGGGTTCTAACTAAAGTGGACGCTCTTTGTTTTTAATTCGGGCGCGGGGGGTTTAAACAAAAACACCTATTATCAGGCTTCGGGGTTTGTTTTGGGTCTCAAAAGGGGAAAATGAGTTTTTGTTGGGGTTCACTTGGGCCTATTTAAAAATTTTTTTATTATTTTAAAGGGTAATTTTTTATTTTATTAATAAAATTGATTTGGTTTTTTTTAAAATTGGGAATTTTAAATTTTTTTTGAAAGGTCAAAAAATTTTTCCCCATTAAAAATTTGGAAACCCCTCTTTTATTCTACTATTTTTTTTGGGGTGAAAAATTTTTTTTTTAGTTTTTAATTTTTTAAAATTTTTGTTTTCTTTTTAAAACGATTCTTTTCAAAATGTTATTGGGTTAAAAGGTTTTATTTTTTTTTGAATTTTATTAAAATTTTTTACTAAATTTTTGAGGGGAAAATTCACATAAATAAAAATTTTTAAAACAAGATGTTTAAAATTTCATTTTAAAAAGAAAATCTTTTTTTAAGGGGAAACCTTCCAAAAAATTATCTGTAAAATTATTTTTTTCTGACATGAAATTTGCTATATAAATTCTATGTGTTTTTCGTATTGCCAGAGTTTAACTCAGATGTCAGGTGAAATTTTTCTATCTTTTATTTTTTTCTTCACAATAAAGAATTATCCTAAATTGTCCACAAGCACTTTAAGTGCAGTGCTTTGCTTTTTGTAAGCATTATTAAATCAGAGAAGGGTACAAAATATCAATTTATACTTTTGCTTTAATGTTATGTTCACTCACTCATTTCTATTTTATGTATCTTTAGCAATTTTAAGTCTATAGTGCTTTTCTCTTAGATGCCATTTACTCACAGTCATATTTGTATATTGCTATCTATTTTAATGGTTAATATTTATTTAATAGTACATGATCTGATAATAAGTAACAGCTGATGAAAAACCTTTTTGATGCAGTGTCAGTTTATTTCTTTGATGGAAATAAAATATTTTCAAACACACACAAATGTCAATACCCTTGCACACATGTTTTGACATGCTAATGTTAAAAATACTTTTCGTAGACGAATAACTACTTTAACTTCCTTGTTTAGTGAAATAGGGTATTTATGTAAGCGTCATGTTTCAATGTCAAACTGTACATTCTCTCATGATTTGAAAACCAGTTTACATGTAAATCATCAATTTTGTTTTAATGTGGTATGTATTCTAGGCTGTCAGGGCCCCTTCACCCTTTGTTTTAATGTGGTATGTATTCTAGTCCATCACCCTTTGTTTTAATGTGGTTTAATTTGGTTGAGTTTTTATGTGTGATTTGGAGAGGGAGGATGGGGTTGAATTTGCAACTTTTGTCAGTTCTAAAAATATAAGCATAGTCCATTAAATTTAAAGATTGATTCAGGTAAACATAGGTACACTGCAAGTGATTAACCAAATAATGGCCATTAAAATTATACACATTATATTTTATGAGGTTTTATCTTTGTTTGACTCTTTAGCATTGTCTTTAAGACTGTTTATTAATATGAAAATGAATTCAGCTAGTAGGTTTGAAACCTGGTGGAAAATGTTTCATTTTTTATTATATGCCCAAAAGAATTTCAGGCATACTGTGTTATACCCCCTGGCGTCCGTCCATTAGCAATTTAGCTATTTCTGGAGCATAACTTGAGTTCAATTTGGCCCACAATATTCAAACTTCATAGGTTCATTGTCCATATTGGGTAGAAGGCCCCTATTGATTTTTTGGGTCAAAGGTCAAGGTCACTATGACCTTAAAACTGAAAACAGTTTCCAGAGCATAACTTAAGTCCCATTTGGCCCACAGTGTTCAATCTTCATAGGATGATTGTCCATATTGGTTAGAAGACCCCAATTGATTTTGGGGTCACAAGGTCAAAGCGTCAAGGTCACTTTGACCTTAAAACTGAAAACAGTTTCTGGAGCATAACTTAAGTCCCATTTGGCCCACAGTGTTCAATCTTCATAGGATGATTGTCCATATTGGGTAGAAGACCCCTATTAATTTTGGGTTCACAAGGTCAAAGAGTCAAGGTCACCATGACCTTAAAACTGAAAACAGTTTTTGGAGCATAACTTAAGTCCAATTTGGCCCACAGTGTTCAAACTTCATAGGATGATTGTCCATATTGGGTAGAAGACCCCTATTGATTTTGGGTCACAAGGTCAAAGGTCAAGGTCACTTTGCCCTTAAACTGAAAACAGTTTCTTGAGCATAACATAAGTTCCATTTGACCCACAGTGTTCAATCTTCATAGGATGATTGTCTTTATTGAGAAGAAGACCCATATTGATTTTGAGGTCACAAGGTCAAAGGTCAAGGTCACTATTATTTTTAAACTGAAAACAGTTTCTTGAGCATAACTTCAGTTCCATTTGGCCCACAGTGTTCAAACTTCATAGGATGATTGTCCATATTTGGTAGAAGACCCCTATTGGTTTTGAGGTCACAAGGTCAAAGGTCAAGGTCACTATTACCTTAAAACTGAAAACAGTTTCCGGAGCATAACTTCATAGGATGATTGTCTATATTGGGCAGAAGACCCCTTTTGATTTTGGGATCACAAGGTCAAAGGTCAAGGTCACTATTACTTTGAAATTGAAAACAGTTTCTTGAGCATAACTTAAGTTCCATTTGGCCCACAATATTCAAATTTCATTGGATGATTGTCCATATTAGGTAGAAGACCCCATTTGATTTTGGGGCACAAGGTCAAAGGTCACTTTTACCTTAAAACTGAAAACAGTTTCCGGGGTATAACTTAAGTTCCATTTGGACCACAATATTGTAACTTTAAAGGAGGATTGTTATTTGAAGGAGGTAATACTTTATTTAATTCCCATGTCTTACAAATGCTTCATCTTTACTAAAAAAAAATCACTTTCGGGCATATAATGCTCCGCCTAGCGGTGCTCTTGTTCAACTTTCATTACTTACTGTTTGACAAAATAATAAATGACTATGCATTATATGAACTTAAAGATATATGTATTGTATTTTTGTCTCTCTTAAAATTTGTTAAAATATTAATAAAAAAAGAAGAAAAAAAGAGATACTGGAATAAATGAGATGCAGATTCTCAATTTAAAAGTAAGAGAGATAAAAAAATAATCAAATTAATAATGTTGAAAAAAAAATGCTTATTGTAATACTCACTGTAGAACCCCCTGAATAAGCATATAAGTGTGCTTCTAAATTATTAACTGAAGCTTTTATGCGGTATTCTTTGATATGTGCACACAATTTGCACCTATTTTTGATATTATGTGCTGCATTACAGAACAAAATAATTTTAAGCTAGGTGTGTGATTTTTCTTATGCTTGATATATAGAAGGTGTTTGGTTGTTTTCATATAAGATCAAAATAAATATTTTTCTGTAATGTTTTAATGAGTGGTGTTGACCCTGAGTGAATGTATAAAAGCTGGTGTTCATGAGTGAAATTAAGTTGACCTTGCATACAAAACAAATAAATTTTCTATCTATTTCATGCTTTTTAGGGGTTTTCAGTCGTTTTACTGATTTTTGTTTTTGCTGTGTAAAAAAACATGCACTCTCATCCATGATGTCATAAGGTCATGACCTCAGATCGTCTTTTTTTGAAAAATAAATCTGTAAAAATTTTACGAATTACATGTACATTATGTTTTTATAATGATATGTGCAGATATTCACAAGCTTTTCATAATCAAGCATATTTTACTCATGAATGTGTGTAATTCTGACTGTATTTCACTAAGTCTTATTTATTATGTAAGTTATATTCTTTTCATCCACATTCAGATAAAGTTCAGCTACTGTGAAAATAATATCTTATTTTTCATTAAATATCTCACAGTGAAATTATCAAAATATAATTTCACTTTCCACTATAGATAGATAAACACTGAAATGTTGTATTAGTGAAAATATATCTACAATGTTTGTTTTACTCAATAATTTTATTGATCATAAAAATTATATAGTTAAATTTGATACTTTAATGATTTTAAAATAACAAATACTTATGTATGCATGAAAATAAATCTCAAAATTTTGACATGGTGGTTAACACTTATTGTTGCTTACTAAATGATCTAATATTTGCACATGGAAAGAAAATGAAACATTATTTGGAATGAGATTTGAAATTTGTTAACAATCTGCATGTGCATCATTCAGCATCTTACATGTTCTAACATACTGCTATACAGAGAATGCCTAGGCATTGTTACATGACATATCCATCATATACTGTCTATACAAAATAGCTTGACATAAAATTTAAAAAACTAGACATACATTTATGCTCTTATTTGTGGTGTCAAATTACGAACAATATATATACACTTATTTCTAAAGATATTATATTTTCCCTGTTAGAAAAATATATAAGGGCTTTATGTTCAGGTTCAATTTTTTGGTGGGAAAATGTAAACCTATTTTTTGAAATGTGGAGTTCTACACTTTATATATATCTTTTTAATCATATTTAAATCTGATCAATATTTTTTTCCAGGAAAAAAAGCTAGTAGCCCGGCAGAGCTGTATAGACATGGGATATCAAGACAGAAGGGTTAGTTGGGCGGAAGGAAAATTTCAAAGAGAGCATGGTAAGGAGAATCAAGGATAGAAAAATATTAATATCATCTTTCATATTAAATTTATATAAGTCATTTTGTGACCTAAACCTCCAATCCCCTTAGGGATGCTGGAGGAAATAACAGGCTTCCATTTTCACTCTCACTACTATACAGTTTAAGTCCAAGATTATAATACATGTATAAAGATATTTTCTATGTCTTAACTCAGATTTCATGTAATTGATTGATCAGGCATGCATTTGATTGGTCAATAACCAGCACAATATGTCGACTGACTAATAAAAGTTTAAAGGTTTATGATTGTATTCTTCTCATTTAAATGTTTGCTTTACTTCTGAGTTCCATAGCAATATAAATTTTGACTTTTTGATCATGTTGCAGGCGGAAGTGATGACTACTCTGCAGTCGATCTTGCCAAGTATATGGAAGAAGTATGTTTTATCTTTCTTTACAAGCAATAAAGGATTTTATGTTTAAAGCCTTAATTATGTCATCTGTTGTAGCAAACAATGTTTTAAGCACCATCAACTCAGGCAATACATTTATAAGAATTGTGTTTAAATTTTACTTGTTTTGCTACAATTTTTAAAATCAAATCAAAACAAACTGTACTTTCCAAAGAAATATGAGGCAAAAAGATGATGTTCTCACAGTACTGTATAACCTGCCTTTATATTTAAGCAATACTCACTAAATACTATGATACATCAAATTACCACCTACATTATTAAGTTAGACAACTTTATTAACTGCTATTCATGGATTGGAACAAGATGTAGACCAAAGTGGAGAGGTCGTTTTGTGTATCAGTTTCAGAATCATGGGTAGGAGCCCAATAGGGGTGAAAACCAGGCAGTACTGGTTAGTGCCAGAAATAGGTGGACTCAAAAGTGGTTTTAATATAAATCAAAGCTTTCATCAAAATCGGGCTAAAGCAATTATGTTATGATAACAAACAGACCAGTTCACAACAATCATTGTGGTTCTATTATACTGTATGCAAACGAAACAGTTGTCAATTAAGTACCTTTTGAAAAAATAGTTCAATCATGACAGCTTTAAAGAGTATTAATTAGTGTGTGAACTCAAATGTAAATTCAAAAAAAGCAGAATTGAGTTTAATATTTAGCAAGCAAAGGTATAAAAAGAAAGTAAGTTGATAATTGTTATTACAGGCCGCCCTGCTGACATTCTTAATATCTGAAGAAATAATGACTGGCATCTGCCTTAAGTATAAAGCCAAGTCAAACTGCACATGTTTTCAGTCTCTATACTACTAGCTGTCTAATTGTACATGGTAATTTATTATTTAAAAACAGGACAGGTCTAAAGAAAACAAAATTACATCTGCAAATTCTGATATAACTTTTGTTAATCAAACTTCAGAGGCAGGATGATGTTCCTGATGCATCACATGACCCTGGACCATCACATGACCCTGGACCATCACATGACCCTGGACCATCACATGACCCTGAGCCATCACATGATCCAAGCACATCACATGATCTTGGACCATCTCATGTAACCATGGCAACAGAAGATGGTCAATACAAATTGACTGCTAAGTTGACAGATTATGGTACAACCTTATCTTTTTTTTTTTTAATTGTTTTGTGATTTAAAAAATCTCTAGCTATATTTATATTATCTTATTGTGCCATTAATGTAGTAGTATTAGCATAGTTGTTAAGATGAATTTCTAAATCTTTTAAAAATGCTTACCTGCATATATGTTATATTTCACACTATCAAATATAGGGGTGTCCGTGGCCGAGTGGTTAAAGCCGTTAACTTCAAACCTCAGCTAGCTTACGGAATGTCGGTGGTTCTACCAAGGTGCCTGTTCGTGCCTGAAATAATGCACAGAAGGGCACCTGAGGTCTTCCTCCACAAGAAAAGCTGGAACATCGCCATGATGACCTATACTGTGTCGGTGTGACGTAAACCCAATCAAACAAAACAAAGTATGGAATATAACTAATGAACTCTCAGCGTTGGCACCCTGTAATGTTCCAACTGAAAACATTATTGAAGCCTATCTTAACCAATTTAGCCTCCTTTTCATTTTCAGATTCCAAATGCATATCATTGTCCATTGGCCTTGTTTTCATTTCAGAGTTCAAAAACCCATATCATGTCATTATTGTACTTGAAGTATCAAAGTTCTGTCAAAATGCAAAAAAAATAGTGGTGTGAAATAAAGAGGTCATTATACAATGTTTTAAGAACCATTCTGATTCTATTGGACTCAAACACAGCATAAAACCTATACCTGACTAATATTGTGCCTTGTGCATAATAGGTTTGACAACTGTGTTCTCATCCAGTATTGTACTCAACAATGTATAATAACCTCATATCATATTATCTTTTACAGATTCTTTTATTTACTTTGTCTAGGCTGTCCTAATGATGGGAGTCATCACATTATTGAACTTGAAGGACTTTCCATGGATAGAAGTCATTGTGGATGTTATCTAAAGGTGATAGGGATAGCTTCCAACAGTCCCTAACCATGGCACCCTCAAACACATTTTGTCTATAACAGATAACTGATTTAAAAAATGAAGGCCTGTAATTAGCAGTTTAAATGGGATTAAGGGAAAGGAATCTGAAGAAAATGATTTACACTAAATGAGAGTGTGAATTGTTTTCACTTAAATGTTATAAAGCCTGAACTTGTGACAAGCTATAAAGCATTGCTGGGAGGGATTTTAAGTAATTTGATATGACATAACAAAGAATGTTTTCTGATTTTTTATGCTCCCCGAAAAAATTTCGGGGGAGCATATAGTCGCCGCCTTGTCCGTCCGTCTTTGCGTCCGTCCGTCCGTCCCCTTTTCTTGTCCGGGACATAACTTTGAAACAACAAGAGGTATCAACATGAAACTTTGTAGGTAGATAGATCTCATTGAGTAGGTGTGCAGTGCACAAGAACCGTAACTCTGCCTTGCCTAATTTTTGAATTATCCCCCTTTGTTTATTTTACACTTTGAACTTTGTCCGGGACATAACTCTAAAAGTATAAGAGGTATCAACATGAAACTTTGTAGGTAGATAGATCTCATTGAGTAGGTGTGCAGTGCACAAGAACCGTAACTCTGCCTTGCCTAATTTTTTGAATTACCCCCCTTTGTTTATTTTACACTTTGAAATTTTGTCCGGGACATAACTCTAAAAGTATAAGAGGTATCAACATGAAACTTTGTAGGTAGATATTCATTGAGTAGGTGTGCAGTGCACAAGAACCGTAACTCTGCCTTGCCTAATTTGTGAATTATCCCCCTTTGTTTATTTTACACTTTGAACTTTGTCCGGGACATAACTCTAAAAGTATAAGAGGTATCAACATGAAACTTTGTAGTTAGATAGATCTCATTGAGTAGGTGTGCAGTGCACAAGAACCGTAACTCTGCCTTGCCTAATTTTTGAAATTATTCCCCTTTGTTTATTTTACACTTTTGAACTTTGTCAGGGACATAACTCTAAAAGTATAAGAGGTATCAACATGAAAACTTGTAGGTAGATAGATCTCATTGAGTAGGTGTGCAGTGCACAAAAACCGTAACTCTGCCTTGTCTAATTTTTAAATTATCCCCCTTTGTTTATTTTACACTTTGAACTTTGTCCGGGACATAACTCTAAAAGTATAAGAGGTATCAACATGAAACTTTGTAGGTAGATAGATCTCATTGAGTAGGTGTGCAGTGAATAAGAACCTTAACTCTGCCTTGCCTAATTTTTGAATTATCCCCCTTTGTTTTTTTTTACACTTTGAACTTTGTCCGGGACATAACTCTTAATGTATAAGAGATATCAACATGAAACTTTGTAGGTAGATAGATCTCATTGAGTAAGTTTGCAGTGCACAAGAACTGTAACACTGTCTTGCCTACTTTTGGAGTTATTGCCCTTTGTTCATTTTGACACTTTGAACTTTGTCTGGGACATTACTCTAAAATTATAAGAGATATCAGCATGAAACTTTGTAGATAGATAGGTCTCATTGGGTGGAAGTGCAGTGCTTAAGAATCATTACTCTGCCTTGCCTTATTTTGAAGAAATTGCCCTTTGTTTATTTTTACTTTTGACTTTTGTCCTGGACATTACTTTAAAACTATTAGAGATATCAACATGAAACTTTGTAGGTAGCTAGATATATAATTGGATAGAACTGCAATGCTTTAAGAACCTAAAAAAGCCTGGTCTAATTTTGGGAGTTATTGCCCTTTGTTCATTTTTACACTTTGACTTTTACCCGGGACATAACTCTGATATCATCAGGAAACTTTATAGATAGATAGATCTCATTGAATAGAAGTGCAGTGCAAAAAAACATAACTCCGCTTTGCCTAATTTTGGAGTTTTTGCCCTTTGTTCATTTTTTTTATACTTCCCTGTGTCCAGAACCTTCTCGGGGAGCATCACCTGGTTCAACCGGTTCTTGTTTTATTCAATTTAAAGCCAAAAAAAATACTGAAAAACAGCAAAATCATTGTTAAACAAACCATTTTTGTACAGTATAAAAAGTACCCATAGATTATGTTTCAGTAAAATCAAGCAATGTGATGTGATTGAAGAGGCTTTTACTTTCTGTCATATTCAAATTTCTTTTTCTTAATCCTAACTAGAGCTTTTCTCAGAAAAATTTCTGTGTACACATCCACAGACAGTGATGTCAGTTGTTTGTTACAGACAAAAGTGTTTGGAGGAGAAACAATCCATCATGGACTTTGTACTTGGATTGGAATTTTATTTAACTATGAATTATTTTGTTACATATTTTAAAAAGCGATATTGTTTTAATCATTTAAATGAATTGATTTGATATAATTTTCAGTCAAACTTAAATTCAATACACAGGAGGATCATTACATACATGCCATATTTCCAGACACCCGGAAAAGGGAAATTGGCTTTAAAAAGCAGGGGATTAAATGGACCAAAAGTAGGGGGATTTTTAAGCAAGAGCAAACCAGTCGTAATCTTAAAACTATGCTAACATAGTTTTAAGGTGTAGATATTACTTCAGGCATGTATAGTTGTAAAAGTTGTTTAAGTCTATCTAATTATGTTTATTGGTAAATATGATGCTTTAATTTTTGTTGGTTGAATTTTTGAAAATCGGGGGATTTCGATCCCATGATGGGACATTGGGAGACAAGGATGAAAATCAGGGGTTTTAGTCCCATGGTGGGGGATATGGTATGTATGATCATTATGACCCTGGGAAGCTGGATGAATTCCCCTGCAGCATGTAATGGGCCACTGTTTCTGGCAGGTACTTATATATTTGGAGTGACCCTGAGTTTTTTCAAAGATAATGAAATCCCTGAATATAATATATTGTAAATTCATTAAATTGAATTTAAGCTTGGCTCTGAATTATAAAGACTGTTGTTATTCTTATATGCTATTTAGTAAGTGCTAAAGTGGTTGAAATTTTATTTTGTCAAATGATATAATTTATTGTTCCGTTTTTCAAATTCTGTGGAACATTTCATTTAATTAATCTGTAACAACTTGTTACTAACCCATTAAATCAGACTTAATCAGTAGTCAAAATATGATTTCAACCACTTAGTAGGCAAGTGTTTGTGAAGTCTATTGAAACTGACCAGTGTCGGCCAGATAGATCTAATTTCATTAATGCTGACTTACAAACACTAACCTACTTAAAGTTAAATATTAGTTTTTTTTGTTTCATGTTAAATTCTGCTTTTAAAGATGTTAACTTAAACTTAACATTCATTTGGAAAAATAATATATCTATTGTTTGTTGCATATTTCCATTATTTTCTTCACTTCATCAAATATAAAGGGAAATAATTATTGAATTTTTTAAAGTATATTAAGTAATTTCAGGAAATAAAGAAAATAACGTGGGAGTAATTAAAAAAAGAATGAATGTTAAGAATAATTAACATAACATATATATTTTTGTTTTTATTTGGCTGACTAAAGCAATAATTATATTTCTTTTATTTTGTTCATGTCATTGTAATTATTTAATTTTAGATTTTTAGCTCACCTGAGCTTGCTCAGGGTGAGCTTTTAGGATCGGTGAATGTCCGTCGTACGTCGTACGTCCACAATTGCTTGTGAACACTCTAGTGGTCGCATTTTTGCCTCAATCATCATCAAACTTGGTCAGGATGCTTATCTAGTTGAAAGCTCGGATAAGTTCGAATATGGGTCATCTCGGATGAAAAACTAGGTCACAAGAGCTAAAAATAGAAAAACCTTGTGAACACTCTAGAGGTCACATTTTTGACCCAATCATCATCAAACTTAGTCAGAATGTTTGTCTAGGTGATAGCTCGGATGAGTTCGAACATGGGTCATCTCGGATGAAAAAGTAGGTCACAGGAGCTATAAATAGAAAAACCTTGTGAACACTCTAGTGGTCACATTTTTAAACCGATCATCATCAAACTTGGTCAGAATGCTTGTCTAGTCAATTGCTTGGATGAGTTCGAATATGGGTCATCTCTGATGAAAAACTAGGTCACAGGAGCTAAAAATAGAAAAACCTTGTTTACACTCTAGTGGTCACATTTTTGACCCAATCATCATCAAACTTTGTCAGGATGCTTGTTTAGATAATAGCTCGGATGAGTTTGAATATGGGTCATCTCGGATGAAAAACTAGGTCACCGGAGCTATAAATAGAAAAACCTTGTTAACACTCTAGCGGTCACATTTTTGCATCAGTCATCATCAAACTTGGTCAGGATGCTTATCTAGTTGATAGCTTGAATGAGTTTGAACATGGGTCATCTCGGATGAAAAAGTAGGTCACAGGAGCTATAAATAGAAAAACCTTGTGAACACTCTAGTGGTCACATTTTTGAACCAATCATCATCAAACTTTGTCAGAATGCTTGTCCAGTCAATTGCTTGGATGAGTTCCAACATGGGTCATCTTGGATTAAAAACTAGGTCACAGGAGCTAAAAATAGAAAAACCTTGTTAACACTCTAGTGGTCACAATTTTGACTCAATTGTCATCAAACTTGGTCAGGAAACTTGTCTAGGTCATTGCTGGGAATAAATCGAACATGGGACATCTCGGATGAAAAATTAGGTCACAGGAGCTAAAAATTGAAAAATCTTGTTAACACTCTAGTGGCTACTGTTGTGATCCAAATATTCTGTTAATTGGTCTGAAAGTTTGTTTTGATGATTTCTAAGTCAAGATCGAACATGGGTCATCTTGGATGAAAAACTAGGTCACACCGCCCAAATATGGAAAAACCTTGTTAACATTCTAGTGGTCACATTTTCAACTCAATTATCATCAAACTTGGTCAGGTTGCTTGTCTAGGTAATTGCTTGGATGAGTTCGAAATCGCATGTGAAACTAGGTCACCGGAGCTAAAAATAGAAAAATTTTGTTAACACTCTAGTTGCTACTGTTTTGATCCAAGTATCCTGGAAATTGGTCTGAAAGTTTGTTTTGATGATTTCTAGGTCAAGTTTGAATATGTGTCACCTGGGTAAAAAACTAGGTCGCACTGCTCAAATATGGATAATCCTTGTTAACACTGTAGTGGTCACATTTTTGACTCACCTGTCTTGAGACTTGGTCAGAATGCTTGTCTAGGTAATTGTTTGGATGAGTTTGATAAGTCAGGTGAGCGATCTAGGGCCATCATGGCCCTCTTGTTTTTGTTTTTTTTTAAGAAGTTCTTTATGCCCATGTAAAACATCCTTAATATAGCACTTTTTTTATCTGCTATTATGCTTTATACAAAATAATAAAATATTTTTATGCAGTAAATACAATAAAGCAGAAAACTTTAAAAAATATTAAATTTCATGAGGTGAGGAAGTAAAGGTTGAAATTCATTAAACCATTTTCTGCTAATAACTTAAATCACTGCTTTAGTATAAAAGTATATATGTATTGAAGAACAAGATACAGGAAAATTGATTTAACTTTGGTTCATAATTATGTAATAAAGAAACATTACATACAAAACTATTTACTGACAATATGTATGAATTTAAAAATTATGAATCTACAGGTGGTAGACATTGTTAAGTTGTAATGTTTCAGCATTTAGGATTTTTCTAGCAATAAATAACCACATAGGTAGCGACTTAAATAATAAGTCTTATAAGATGACCAGAGCAATAATGTTTTGAG